GAATGAATGAGTTCAGAGAGAAGACATGTAGAGACCACAGACAGAGAGAAGACAAGGAGAGACCACAGACAGAGAGAAGACATGTGGAGAATATAGACAGAACACAGTTAAGCATTATGGTGTATTAATCTTCACAGAAATGCTGATTGGCCTTCTGTAGTCAAACTACAAGTCCCAGGATGCCCTGGCAGCCAAAATTGTTCACTGAAGCCAAAAGGTAACTACATCAAAACTGCAGATGAAGTCTTTATTTTTTTCTTTTTTCTCTCGCTCTCTCTTTTTTAAAGTGCTTGAGTTAGAGGGACTCTGTGTATGAGGTAGATATTGAGTCATCAGTAGCAAGTGGAATGTAGCAAACGCATTATTTTGTATTCTGCTGAATATGCAATACATCAGGACAACTGTGTCTAATCCTAAATTTAAATTGATTTAATCTTTAAAGTGTACTAAAGGTTTTTTTTGCTTTAGCAAAAAAAAAAAAAAATTTTTTAAATAAATAATGTTATAATTACAGAGGCTATAAAAAAAAAAATCACCCCCTTTAAAATAATTACATTTTGTTTCTTTGCGGACAGAAATGAAGACAAACACAATTTATGTTTTATCCAGCTATATTTACTCAGTGCAACTTATAACATCCAAGTGAAAAGACATAACACCAACATGTCAGAACAAAAAAAACAAACAAATAATATAAAAAACAGAATCACCGAGTTGAAATAAGGATCGCCTCCCCTTCCTAACAATGACTTGTAAACTCAATTAGGTGTAGCTAATCACCTTCTCAATGGCACACAAAGCCATTGGACTTTCAGCTGGGATCAGTGGTAATCATTTTGATTAGCGAAGCATGAAAAGAGCTTTCCTGGAGCATTTCAGTCCCAGGTAGTATAACTGAAGCAAACAAACAATCAACTATGAGTGGTAAGTCACTGTCAACAGACATCCGGGATAAAGTTGTGGACAGGCACAAGTCAGGAGATGGATACAATAAAATTGTATGGGAGGGTTTCAAGAAAAAAAAAACACCCCTCAACAAAGGCTACATGCAGTCATGACTGAGTTTTGTCAAAACGCACCTTGAAGATTCTGAGGCCACATGGACAAAAGGTGTTACAGTCAGATGAGAAAATTGAATTATTTGGCCTCAACACTAAATGATATGCCTGGCGGAAATCCATTACAGCTCATTATGCAAATAACACCATTCCTACAGTAATGTATGGAGGTGAGAATATCCTGTTATGGGAGAGTTTTTCTCTGAGCAGGGACTGGAGCACTTGTCAGGATAGAAGGAAAAAATGGATGGGAAAATACCATCAAATTCTTGAGGAAAATATGCTGCCTTCTGCCAGAAAAGTGGTCAATGAGAAGAAGGTTTACCTACCAATATAACAATGACCCAAAGAACACAGCAAAAATTACCACATGGTGGTTGAAGGAGAAAAAGGTGAGTGTCCTTGCATGGACGAGTCAGGGCCTAGACTTAAACCCACTGAAAACCTGTGGAATGACTTGGAACACTACAGTCCATAAACTGTCACCATCAAATTTAAATGAACTTGAGCAGTTCTGAAGCGCGGGAAAATATTGCAAAGTCTAGATATGCAAGGTTAGTAGAGACAAATCCCAACAGACTAAAGGCTGTAATTAAAGCAAAAGGTGGTTCAACAACATACCGACACAAGGGGGTGATCCTTTTTCCAACTCAGTTATTCTGTTTTTTTAATTTTTTTCTGACATGTTGGTGTTATATCTTTCACTTGGATGTTATAAGTTGTACTGAGTAAATACAGCTGGATAAAAACAAAACCTGTGCCTGCCTTCATTTCAGGCTGCAAAGCAACTAAATAATTATTTTAAAGGGGGTTGATTCTTTTTTATACCCTCAGTACCTGCTCCATGCAATGATATTGCACAAAACAGTCCCTTTCCTCTATTTTGGAGTCACCTACCAGTACGGAAAGCTGCTCCTCCTACTTCCTGTGAGTGCCCCATCAACAAGCTATGTGCTAAGGGGGCACCCTCCCAATCCAGACCGTGTGTATTCATAGACACATAGTACCGGTAAACCAAACCCCTGCTCCCTCCTTACAGGAGTTTGACAGCAGCAGGCGTCTATGGCTCCTGTTGCTGCCTGTGTCTCCTGTGAGACCAAGAAGCACAAGAGTGATGGTGCAGCCACTGGCCTGGACCTCACTTGACTGATCGAGCAGAGGTAAGAGCTTAAATTCCTAAAAAAAAGCTTGGTCCCTGCATATACGAACTAACTATCTAATGTGTTTTAAAAGTACAGGTATTTAATGCTGTATGCATATTTTTTTTTAAATATTTTATTAAATATTATGGGGTTATGTCCTTACAGGGTAAGTTCCTGGCTGAGATGGAGGATTAAATCTGGGTATACACACAGTTTTTTTTTGTGTTAAACCCACTTGTTAAAACTGACAGATCCCTGCATCAACACAAGCGATGTTGATGCAGTGATCTCTCCCGCTGCACATTTGTATTCTGACCGCCACAATACACTGATCAGCTCTTGCAGCCATTGACAAGGGCTGGTTTTCCAGCATGACCATTCTATAGGACTGGTCATTCCTACTAAACCAGATGACTTTCAGTACGTGTGTACCCGGCTTTACTCCTAGTGATCAGATACACAGGACAGAGTGGATCCTGTGACACTAAGGCAATGTACAACAGGAAGGGCCGATTTATTTTATTTTTTCTTTCAATGCCAGATCATTTTTAGCACTGCATAGTAAATGGAGCTCAGTTTGTAGGTTTTTTTGATGTTTTAGGTCTTTTTTTTTTTTTTACTCCATTTACACAATATCTGTTTCTTAAACATACAATACAAACCATACATTACAAGACAAGAAATTTCCAGAGTTGGGTTATCTAAATACACAACAGACGCTGTCTGCCTTTAAAGTATACGTGAACCCTTACATTATAAAATAACGCATTCAGATTAAAATAGGTAAAAAACATTTGTTTATATATTTTATAATCATATGACCTCTGTTCTCAGGTACAAAAGGGGCTCATAAATACACATACATACATACATACACACTTTATTTTTTGGTCCTGGCCATAAACATTGTGGAGGACTGAAAAGATGATATTGTCAAACTTGAATTCATCCACACTGCACTCCTATTTAACGTACATCATCCATACTTTCCATAACCTCATCCCTGCCAATGTGTAAGAATTACTTTGTTAAAGTGGTTCTGAAGCAAGAGCATTTATAATGCATTCCCTGCATGAAGGTACAAATTTTTTTTTACAATGTCCTGTACTCCCCCACCTCTTTAAATACTTAACTGAATCTTCAATCGATCCAGTGATGTGCACAGCTGCATCTCTTCTCTCTATGGCAGTGGTTCTTAACCTGGGTTCGATCGAACCCCAGGGGTTCGGTGAGTCAGTCTCGGGGGTTCGGCGGAGGTGACCCACACCCGACTCATATGATTTGTGATGACATGCCCCGCTTGTCCATCATTGGCTGCAGGTGGTCACGCAACCCACTCACTCGCTCGCTTAGCCCAGTGGTCGGCAAGCCGCGGCTCTTGTGTGCCGGGCGCCAGCTCCCCTCCCTCCTCTCGGGCGGCAGGGACTCAAATGCAATGATTGGCCAGTCTCGCTGCCACTCACATCCTGATAGCCAGTGATTGGCTGTCAGGATGTGTGTAGGCGGGGCAGCGTGACGAACGTGAGAGGAGCTAGGCTCCTCTCAGTCCGCCCTGAAGACCGGAAAGGCGCGGGAATACAGCGAGAGGAACGCGCGGAGCAAAGGTAAGTGAATTGACACAGGGGGGACTTGGGGACTTAATATGGGGGATGAATTAATATGGGGGATGAATTACTATATGGGGGATGAATTACTATATGGGGGATGTACTATAAGGGATGAATTACTATAAGGGATGAATTACTATATGGGGGATGTATTACTATAAGGGATGAATTACTATATGGGGGATGAATTACTATAGGGGGGATGAATTACTATAGGGGGGGATGAATTACTATATGGGGGGATGAATTACTATATGGGGGATGAATTGAATTAATTACTATATGGGGGATGAATTACTATGGGGGATGAATTACTATGGGGGATGAATTACTATATGGGGGATGAATTACTATATGGGGGATGAATTACTATAGGGGGGATGAATTACTATGAGGGGATGAATTACTATGGGGGATGAATTACTATGGGGGATGAATTACTATATGGGGGATGAATTACTATATGGGGGATGAATTACTATATGGGGGATGAATTTTCATACCGTTTGTTACAACATATCTTTGCGAGCAATCCTTTTCGAGGATGCTGGACATAAAGAGGAAGAAAAGGAACAGACTTTGTTGCGAAAATGACATGAGAGTGGCACTTGCCAAGGTAATGCCGCGCATTTCTGAACTGGCCTCTGAAAGACAACAGCAGAAGTCACACTGATTTGCGGTAAATATTCATTATTTTGTTTTTGTGTGAAAATCATGTTTTAATGGTTTTGTTCTTTGTTCTTAATGGTTTTGTTCATTTTGTACACCTATGTATAAATATATACGTATGTTTTGAATTTTAAAAATCATATTTTATTTTTCAAATTAAGAAGGGTTCGGTGAATGCGCATATGAAACTGGTGGGGTTCAGTACCTCCAAAAAGGTTAAGAACCACTGCTCTATGGACACAAAGCCTCAGGATCAAGCCCGCATGTCTGACCCCATAGAAAGGCTTGCAGTGGTGGTAGACCGAAAAGAGGAGTGGCCAGAGGGCCTCAGAAGAGGATTGTTTAGGGACGCTCTGTGCAATACCATTACACAGAGCAGGTATGTATAACATTTTTTAAATATTTAAAATTTAAACAATTGACTTTAGAAAAGCTTTAAAAAGCCCAACAAGGTACAATATAGAAAATACTAGTTTGTTGGAACACAGAAGGAGGACATGGTTATCCTGAAGAAAAATACTTACATTTGGATGTCCTGCCACCTCAATCATCTCAGCAATGGCTTTTTTAACAGACTCGGGGTCTCTGACATCACACTGGAGAGCATGGACCTGCCAGACACCAAAGAGCATCATAAATTCAGCTGCTGACAAACTCCTATTATGCTAAACAGTTATGAGAAACTGTCCTTCCTGAATGTAGGAGTATGCTTGCACAAATCCCCTGTGCTTTCTTTCTCCAAAACTCCCCCTATTTTTTGGGTCTGTTATTCACATCTGTAATAAATAACTCTTCATAATCTGCAAACTTTTCTGTTAGTAAAACTGTTATTTTGGTACATTCACATGGGAAATGTCCTAATTTTATAAAGGAAAACATTTACACAGTTGAAAGAAATGCTCTATTGTTTGCACAGTTATCTTGCATTTGTAAAAATGTAGGGTGTTTATATTTTACAAACCTGTACAAGAGGTAAGTAATGCCACTATTCTAAAAAGGATAGGTTCACCCTGGTAAAACAATGAACTATTCAGTCAAGGGACTTGCTTTAAAATCCATTGCATAACTTTACAATTCCGAGTTTAAGTGCCATATATGGAGGTCCATTGGGGCTATCATACAGCCTGGTTGACAAATTACTAATGTGAGAGATTTGCGTCATGCTGCCTGTGATCTAGGGCACCCTAAATTTTGTGTGCACTACCAGCATTATTGGAATAAGCATTCTGCTAGTTTTAAAAATGCGTGCATGCACTGTGCTTCCTTTATTACCATGGTGGCTATGGTCAGTGTGCTGCGCATGCATGAGACTTGAACATGCATACTTGGCATGTGCTCAACCTATGGGGCAGTCCAGATCCCAGGCAGGATGGCATAGATCCCTCCAGTTAGAAGTTTTTCAGCAAGGCCATGGTTCTACAGAAATGACTCTGAACCCCAAACTTTAGATTTTTGTGTTTTAAAAAAAAAGGTACTGGGGACCCTTGACTGCACAGTGTGTGTGTTTCTTTTTTTTTTTTTTACAAAAAGGTGAACTTAGCCTTAAATAAAGTTATCTGCAGTTAAATAAATGTGTTCAAATGCTAAAAAAAAAAAAAAAATGAATGGCTGACAGTAACATGGGAAGGTATTACATTATCTATCTATACAAGTAGGGAGTAACAAGGCGGAGTGAAGGGACAGCAATCACTGAGTGGAAGGACAATAACCGAGTCTGTCTATATGAATAGGAAATAATATCACTGAGCAAAAGGACAGCAACGGGGTCTGGCAGTGATATTATATTTCCTAGTTACACAAACTAAAAAGGACAGCAATAGGATCTGTATGTATGATTAGGAAATAATGTATCAGGATCTCTCTGTATTAAATAAGTAGATGTATATCACTGAAAAAACAGTGACTGGGTCAGTCTGCATGTATGTTAAATAATGCATCACTAAGTACAAGGGCAATATAAGGGAGTAACAGGTCTGTGTAAAAAAAGGCAGACTGAACATGCAAAATCAAGCAAGAAAAAAAATTATCTAAAAAAATATAAACCTATAAAAACACTGGAGTACAGTACATTTAAGGTCAAATTTAAAAAAAACTACCTTATTTCCAGTTTCTGTTGAGATCTCAGCTGCGGTTTCTTTCAATACATCCAATTTCCTGAAAGTAAAATCAGAATTTAAAAAAAAAAAAAAAAAAAAAAAAAAAAAAAAAGCGATGTTCGATTTTCGTCCCATCTACGGCCAGCATTTAATTACTTCTGTGCCCTGCAGAGAACTCCGCTATTATATTTGACATTATAGCGGTTACAACATTGTATCTATTTGTATCCATTTCAGATACAGATTTTTATTCGGATACAAATAGATACATTGTTGCAACCACAATATTTTTTCATGTCAAATATAATAGCGGACTGGAATTCTTCTTTTTCTTGCAGGCCACGGCTCATGCGCAGATTTTTTAATTGGTAAAAAGATCGGCCGATTTGCCCATCATTGCCGCGAAAAATCGGCAGATCGGCAAAAATCGGCCGATTTTTTTCCAACTTTACCTTTGTGACTTTAATATTAACCTCTACAAAATCACCCAATCAACATGGGCAGGCTTTTTTTTTTTTATACTTGTTTATCCCCCTATGTTGAGATACAATGCCCTACAGGGTTGTTTCAAAAGATGTGCTCATTCAGCTGTATTCTTTGCTCTGTCCACGTGATCTAGCACTTGGGCAGGGGAGGCATGTAAAAATGTCTCACCGCACACTCTGCATGCAATGTATGTGGCAAGGGCAGATTTGTGGATGTGGGGGATGGCAGCTCCACGCTCATTCCTGTTATCAAGGTGGCAGGCTGAAAGAGTATGCTCTCAACGTACCACCCTTACTGAATTTCATGCAGGGTGGCAGCAACCACACAGAACACAAGTTTTATTTGGCTGGGCATTGCAGAAGCCTTGTTGGCTTCTAGGGCTGCAATTTGTGGGACAATACATTCCTGTACACCGCACAATTATTTGTACCCGACTATGGTCCCTTGACTGCACTGCAGTGTTTACTTTAAAGGCAAAATAACCTTTTAAAATAAGATTTACATTAAAAGAGAATGCAAATGGAGGACTGAGACTCCAAGAACTGGGAGCTGGTCAGTAAGTCAACTCATAAGCTCTGAGTAAATGGACTACTTGGCCATACAGTGATAGATCTGTGTCAATAGATCTTGAAAAAAAAAAAAAAAAAAAAAAAACAAACAAAAACTTACTTTTGCTGTCCTATGACCCAGAATCAGTCGACCGTGGGCTAAAGCCTGCTGTCAGCTTGCATCACAGAGCCTATCCAGGTTCTGGAAGGATCCCGACCATACTGTCAGAATACAAACAGCTGATTGACTGACAACTGGCTTCAACTTTCAGCACATGGCTGATAGCCAAAGGCAGCTGAGCCCACCCATTTCCAGCCTGGAGCTACAGCTGGAGGGCAGAGCAGAGCACTTAGAGCCAGCGGGGGACAGCTACAGCCATGGTGGCGAACATGGATGTTTTTTTTTTTTTTTAATACTGTATACCCCATATATCTGCTGTTCACCTTTACCAAAAAAACACTGCCTTTGAAGATTAGAACAAACTGTGCAGCATTAACTAAAGTTGAATAAGGCCTTTGCTGTAGGTCATTCACAAACTTTATGAAGTCTTACTGGAGCACTTCCAGGACGTTGCTAAGAGAGACCCAGCTATTGCTACTCACTTTGACCATCAGGAGTGAGCTCTGAAATGCTGAGCTCAGAGCTACTGCATCAGGGAAGAGAATGCGCATGCGAGGGGGTTTGAACAAGAGAAAGAACTCCTGTGAGGCTGAAGGTGAAGAGTAATAGCTGAGCCTCTCTTAGCAAAATCCTAGCCATGTCCTGGAAGTTTTCCAATCATGCTTCATGGAGGTACATTAATGGCCTACACCTATAACAAGAGAATTATTTCAACTTTAGTTTGTCTTTATCTACCAGACGCCCCTTACTTCACATGCAGATTTTAGGTAAAGGTGAACTATGCCTTTAAGTCTTTATGGTATCTGTGTTACCACTTGAAAGTTTTCTCCTCACTTTGTTTGATAGAACAAACATGGATGGAAAAAGGTCTACACTTTGTCAACTGAATGAACGTAAAAGGGAATCCACCAAAGGGAACACAAGAAGCAATAAAAAATGTCTAGTACAGTGAAGAAGGTTTGGAACATTTGTCAGGATTTTATTATTATCTGTGCCCCCAAGAAGGAGATTTTACTACTTCCTGTGCAGGTAAAACAGAAGAAAGTTTCCTTTCTAATCTATGTTGGCACAGATTTGGTTGATGGCTTCTTGACAATAGGTCCCCAGCTACAGATATCCTTGTTCCCTTTTCCTCCTTTCAGTCCCTCTAACTTCCCTTTGTATGTTATTTTTCTATACTTTTTAATATGTCTGAAATTCACATGGAAAAACACACACTAGCACATGCTATGGGGATTAAGTGACCAGACTGGTAAAAATCTAATTATACTTTTTCCCTGGGAAATGCCGGCACCAGGTCTGTCTGCTACCTGAGAATCCACAGCTCTGTTTAAATGTGTACCCTCATGCTGTTGAGTGTTCCTTCATTGGTGATGAACTCTACCTACAGACAGCGAAGGACAGTTGGATTTTGCATACATATTTGACTGGTGTCTAAATCATAGTTGGAGGAGGATGGTGCATTACCTGCTAGATATCACACATTCAGCTCCAAGTCTAGACAATGCCATTGTCATGCCTTTGCCAAGTCCTGTTCCTCCACCAGTGATGAAGGCAACTTTTCCTTTAAAAGTGTTGGGAGGCAGCATCACATTCTGCTGAGCGGGAAATAACCTGGCTTGAGGGGCATCTATGTTATCATTCGATAAAGCTGGGGTTCCACGACTAAAAACCTGGCAGAAGAAGAAGACAAAGTAGTTACTGTAGTGCTCACATAGGATTTCTCCCCTCCCCCCAGTACAAAAAATAAGGGATTGCATGTTCCCTCACCATTAATAATCATTCCAAAATGATTCTATACCAAGATAAATGGGTAGATTTACTAACACTGGAGCACCCAGAATATGGTGAAGCTGTGCATGATAGCCAACCAGCTTTTAACTTAAGCATGTTCAATAAAGTTTTGGTAATACAATTTGGAAGCTGATTGGTTTCTATGCAGAGCTGCACCACTTTTAGTAAATAATCCCTGACGTGTCCCTTTTATTTTTTCTGCAATTCAAAGCTCAGCTTGTTTTAGTAATCCCTGTGGTCTAATTGTATTTGTAATCATTTAAAAAGCTCTGTTGCCACTACCCTTCCCACCCAGCTGCCTAAATGTCATAAGAGTTACCAAAAGACAAAATTCTGACCTTGACTGCAGAAGCCACTACTTCAGGCAAACAGCTAAATAGATGAACTACATATATGAAATGGATTTACTTGCATAAGCATTTCTTTCCATCCAGTCCTGTGATTTACACAGCTCTGTCAATAGACATCCCTGTCTGGCAGGACAAGAGACCTGATTTTGCTCTGCTGCAGTTAAAGTGGTTGTAAACCCTTACCTATACCCAGTGAAGTAACTTCCCTTTGACGATACACAGATGAAAGCTGAAGTTACATCAGGGAGGAAAGCTCTGAGCCCTGATTGGAGGGAAGGGACACAGCCCCTTCACAGAACACACAGGAACAGAGCTGAGCCCGTCAATCTGCTGGAGGTCCATCCCCTGTCACCATTTTCTCTTGGTGTCAGGAAAACATATCAGAAGCGACTCATTCTTATAGCAGAGGAACAAGGCAGTGGACAGGAATGACACTTAGTGCTTAGAGGTTTACAACCACTTTAAGTAACACTTCCAGGTAAGGTTTCCCCCAGCCTGTGACTGGACAAAGAAAGGAAAAGCAGCAGACTGAAGAACTCTTCTCTCCTTCACTCTATACTTTCCTCCTATCAGCATCAGCATTCTCCTTGCACTGCAACACAACTGATTTGCTTTGTGTTCTGCTGTTCCCTTCCCCAGTCTGAGCCCTGCTGTAGGGAGACTGCAAGGGCTGATGCCATGTTAAATATAGGGCTTTACATTGCATGTATTAAAAAAATAAATAAATATATATTTGAAGTGAAATTCCCAATAAAGCCTAACTAGTTTTAAAAATGTTACCCAACACTTATACTAAGTAACCTGTGCTGAAAAAAAAAATTATAATAATAAATATATATATACACATACATACATACATACATATACACACACACGTGAAACTTGAAAAATTAGAATATCGTGCAATAGTTCATTTATTTCAGTAATGCAACTTAAAAAGGTGAAACTAATATGAGATAGACTCATTACATGCAAAGCAAGATAGTTCAAGCCGTGATTTGTCATAATTGGGATGATTATGGTTTACAGCTCATAAAAACCCCAAATCCACAATCTCAGAAAATTAGAATATTGAGAAAAGGTGCAATATTCTAGGCTCAAAGTGTCCCACTCTAATCAGCTAATTAAGCCATAACACCTGCAAAGGGTTCCTGAGCCTTTAAATGGTCTCTCAGTCTGGTTCAGTAGGAATCACAATCATGGGAAAGACTGCTGACCTGACAGTTGTACAGAAAACCATCATTGACACCCTCCATAAGGAGGGAAAGCCTCAAAAGGTAATTGCAAAAGAAGCTGGATGTTCTCAAAGTGCTGTATCAAAGCACATTAATAGAAAGTTATGTGGAAGGGAAAAGTGTGGAAGAAAAAAGGTGCACAAGCAGCAGGGATGAACACAGCCTGGAGAGGATTGTCAGGAAAAGGCCATTCAAAAGTGTTGGGGACTTTCACAAGGAGTGGACTGAAGCTGGAGTCAGTGCATCAAGAGCCAAAACACACACACAGACGGATCCTGGACATGGGCTTCAAATGTTGTATTCCTCTTGTCAAGCCGCTCCTGAACAACAAACAAAACAACGTCAGAAGCGTCTTACCTGGGCTAAAAAAAAACAGACCTGGTCTGTTGCTCAGTGGTCCAAAGTCCTCTATTCTGATGAGAGCAACCTTTGCATCTAATTTGGAAACCAAGGACCCACAGTATGGAGGAAGAATGGAGAGGCACACATTGCAAGATGCTTGAAGTCCAGTGTGAAGTTTCCACTGTCTGTGCCGATTTGGGGAGCCATGTCATCTGCTGGTGTTGGTCCACTGTGCTTCATTAAGTCCAGGGTCAACGCAGTCGTCTATCTGGAGATTTTGGAGCACTTCATGCTTCCTTCCGCAGATGAGCTTTATGGGGATGCTGACTTCATTTTCCAGCAGGACTTGGCACCTGCCCACACTGCCAAAACCACCAAAACCTGGTTCAATGACCGTGGGATTACTGTGCTTGATTGGCCAGCAAACTCTCCTGACCTGAACCCCATAGAGAATCTATGGGGCATTGCCAAGAGAAAGATGAGAGACGAGACCGAACAATGCAGAAGAGCTGAAGGCTGCTATTGAAGCATCCTGGTCTTTTCATAACACCTCAGCAGTGCCACAGGCTGATAGCTTCCATGCCACGCAGCATTGAGGCAGCAATTGCTGCAAAAGGGGCCCAAACCAAGTACTGAGTACATATGCATGCTTCTACTTTTCAGAGGTCCGATATTGTTCTATGTACAATCCTTGTTTTATTGATTGCATGTGATATTCTAATTTTCTGAGATTATGGATTTGGGGTTCTCATGAGCTGTAAGCCATAATCATCACAATTATGACAAATCACGGCTTGAACTATCTTGCTTTGCATGTAATGAGTCTCTCATACATTAGTTTCACCTTTTAAGTTGCATTACTGAAATAAATGAACTTTTGCACAATATTCTAATTTTTCGAGTCTCACGTGTGTGTGTGTGTATATATATATATATATATATATATATATATATATATATATATATATATATATATATATATATATATATATACACACACACACACACACACACACACACACACACACACACACACACACACTTTCACCACATGTTCATATCCATACATACAAAGAAACCAAAACAAAATGTGTTCAGAAACTAAGTTGTGTGTAATATAATGGAATGACACAGGGAAAAAGTATTGAACACGCTAACTGAAATGTATTACTTTGTACAAAATCCTTTGTTAGTAATGACAGCTTCCAAGTGCCTCCTGTATGGAGAAACTAGTTACATGCATTGCTCAGGTGTGATTTTGGCCCATTCTTCCACACAGTCTTCAAATCTTAAAGGTTCCCATGGGCCTCTTCTATAAACTCTGATATTTATTTCTTTCCATAGATTTTCTATTGGATTCAAGTCAGGTGATTGGCTGGGCCATTCTAGCAGCTTTATTTTCTCTCTTTATTTCTTTTAAACCAATAGTTTCTTCGGCTTTTTGTTGGGGATCATTGTTTTGTTGAAATGTCTACCCTTGTTTCATCTTCATCATCCTGATAAATGGCAGCAGATTTTTATCAAGAATGTCTTGGTACATTTCTCCATTCATCCTTTCTCATGGATGCTGAATTTGTATAGCCCGAAGCCTGGGACATGTAGTTTTTTTTTTTTTTTCAACCTTATTGAGGGAAAACAGCAGGGCTCACCTGTCAGGTGAAAGCATTTGGGCGTCTGCGCTGCCACCCGATTGCTTTCACACAGTCCACTATGGTGCCAGCCTCCGCCCCCTCCCATGTAAACCTCCCCCCCCGCCCGCTATGTCTCCTGGTCTCCGCCTGTCCATCTGTGGGCCCGGGACTGGTTCAGCGTGCACTGGTAGCTAGAGGGGAAGGAGTAGAATGGACACGTCTGCTCCCCTCTCCTTGTCCTGACGTGACATTATGATGTCACTTCCAGGTCCCAGTTCACAGATTTTCCGGCTATCGAGGCCGGAAAAGAATGTAATGCAGTGTGATGTATACTGCATTACATTCAGAGGAGACATGCAGGGTCTTTTAGACCCTGGATGTCTCAAAAAAAAAAAAAAAAAAAAAAAAAAAAAAAAAAAAAAAAACACCTGTCAGCAAAAATTATCAGATAGGGGACTTTTTGTCCCCTATGTGATGAAAAAAAAAAAAAAGTTTTAATTACAAAAATTAAAGTTACACCCAAGCACATAACATCCCCTCAAGCAAAAAAAAAAATTGAGCCCCTACCCCTACATATACGCACGTACAAACATAAAAGCATTCTCTGGGGTGCCTACCCATGAAAGAGTTGATTGCGATACACGTTACATATTGCCGCACACACCAGAATGAGAGCAATAATTCTATACTGATGACCGATAAATGCTTTAAAAAGGATCGCCTATACAAAATATAGGGTACTGAAGTTTGTTGCTATTTCACGAATGCAGTTAAGTTAAGTGTATTTTTTTTAACCTAAATTTTGCATTTCCTAGACCTTTTCAGTAATATTGTAGGACATGAAAAATTGGAACTACCACTATTTTAACCTCTATGGTCTCTGCTCTGAGAAAAAATAAAATGTTTGTGGCTTGTGTAATATTCAAGCCTAAAATGATTTAGAAAAGTGTACAAAAAATGCAAAAACGGCTCTGGCAGCGAAAGGGATAAAGGATAAGCCCGACACTCCCCTTGCCTGATAAAGCAGCCAATCGGTGCTCATTACACTGCAAGGTCTCTCCCCTCCCTGCTAGTCCCCAGGAGCGGTGCTGGAGACAGGCAGGAAGGGGAAGAGAAGATATATAGTGCAATGAAAAAAAAAAAGTTTAAGTCACCTCAGACATTCCTATAAGCACCTCGGATCTAAATACGGGTTTGGTAAAAAAAGATTGGGACCCTGATTTAGTCCCTGGAAAAGTAGTTTTTGTTTTCAAAAATTTCCACACCCGTTCCTTCAATCATATGAAGTTGGCCAGTACCGAATGCTGAAAAACGGCCCCAAA